GCCTGCCACAATGCCTGGCTATTTTTTGGTTGCAGCCATCATTGTTGTTTGGCGGACCTGGGCTGGATTCGAACCTGCTATGTTAGGTATATGTGGCTGGCGCCTTAGCCACTTGAGCCACAGGCGCCAAGCCAACAAATTTTTTTTTTTAGATAGAGCCTCACTTTGTCACCCTTGGTAGAGGGCCATGGCGTCACAGCTCACAGCAACCTCCAGCTCTTAGGCTTAGGTGATTCTCTTGCCTCAGCCTCCCAAGTAGCTGGGAGCGTCTGCCACCATGCCCAGCTATTTTTTTGTTGCAGTTTGGCTGGGGCTGGGTTCAAACCTGCCACCCTCAGTATATGGGGCCAGCACCCTACTCACTGAGCCACAGGTGCTGCCCATGACTTCAACAATTTTTTTTTTTTTGCAATTTTTTTTTGGCTGGGGCTGGGTTTGAACACGCCACCTCTAGTATATGAGGCCGGCATCCTACTCCTTTGAGCCACAGGCGCTACCCAACTTCAACAAATTTAATACTAAGTCTACACAGGGTCTAAACACATCTAATGATTGATACTGATTTCTTTAAAAGTCTTTGCATTAGAGAATCTAGCTGAAAAAAATTTAAATGACACTTCTAAAACCTCTAGTTATGGCTATTATTTTATTATTATTTTTTTTGAGACAGAATCCCACCTTATGCCCCTGAGCAGAGTGCAATGGCATTGTAGCTCACTGCAACCTCAGAATCGGGCTGTGGACATCCCACTGCCTCAGCCTCCAGAAGCCGCTGGAATTACAGGCTCTCACCTCAGCACCCAGCTGGGTTTCTCCATTTTTTTCATGAGTCAGGATCTCACTCTCACTCAGGCGAGTCTCCAACTCCTGAACTCCTGAGCTCAAGCAATTCTTTCTCCTCAGCCTCCCACAATGCTGGGATTACAGGCATGAGCCACTATGCGCAGCTCATTCTTTTATTTTTAATTTTTTAAAGCTTTTTTCATTTATTTTATTTTATTTTTTGTTGCAGTTTGGCCAGGGCCTGAACCCGTCACCCTCAGCATATGGGGCCGGCACCCTACTCCCTGATCCACAGGTACCGCCCATCTTTTATTTATTTTAAATAGATCATATTAGATGGATAATATTCAACACTAAATGGGATAAACATATTCTTTGCTCAACTAGACACATTTTGGTACTTAACCACAAAGATATATTTATTAAGCAACTCAAGGTAACTCTGCAATACGGTCTTCTATAGGGAGCCCTATGAAGAATGAAAGAATAGCTGGCAAAAAATAAACACCCAACTGAAAAGCAGCTGTAGCTGATCAATACAGATAAGGTATCTTTCCTCTCTAGAAGTTACTTAATTCTATTCAACAATCTTAATTTACCTAGCATAAGTATTCCATTCACTTGTAATGGTAAAGAGGGAAAAACATTAAACTAGTTCAGGAACTGAAACTAATAGAATCCTACTTTTACTCTGTGCAAGTCTTGACTTAGCTGAGTTGTTTAAACAGCTTTAAGCCTATTATCTCATTTCTCTAGTATCTCACCAAACTTGATTTTCAGTCTGTAAATAGACGAATATAACCTTCTCTGTCTTAGATAGCCCAGTGTATAACTGAGAAATCTTTCTGGGATTTATAAGGTATGTATGCTGAGCAACAACCACACTCAAACAATAAAACTACGAAGTATGGAAGTCAAGAAAAACATTAGATTTTATCAATTCTTGCTTTACCTGATTTTGTGGTTGGTCCTTTTATCGAATATTCCTGCCAAAACGTCATCTAAGAAAAAGGTAAAAATTTCCATTTATTCAATTTCTTCATTATCAATTTGTTTGGTCCCAATGACCTTGACTAGGGGAGGTAAACTCTTGGCATATGCCACACATGGGAGACAAGTTCATTCAAGCTGGAGGGCATGACTCACTCTGATTAAAGCATGACCTAAGATAAATTATTACAGAGGGAATTTAAAAAACGTACTAACACCCATCACTGTCTCTGCCCTCTTTCTAACTAGTCAAGGGATTACTATCAGTCCCATCTTCCTACTCCTATGTCCTGCTATTCTTCCTTGACCTGACTGGAGCCCCTTCTCAAGCATAACGGAAAATTATTGCATTAGAGAGTAGGTGAAAGTGCCAAAGGAAGAGTTGAGGCTGTGAAGCCATCATCACCTATACTAAGTAGGCCCTCAGTCTGTCTCAGGAGATTTTATTGAAAGGTATTTATTAATTTGGAAGAATATCCCTGAAACAATTTAAGTTCAGGGTTACTTGAGAGAACAGAAGTGGATTTAAAGTACTATGATAAAATTAGAAAACGGATCTGTGAAAAAAAAGAATGAAACCTAAACAGGCAGAAATACAAAATACATAGTTTGTTTTTCCTCTTTAGATGTGGCATACTTGCATGAATGGGAGCCTGGGCACAATTATGGGAGAATCAAGAAATAGGTTCTATTAACACCTGCATTTTAAGGACCCCTGGGAGAGGTTATTATTGATCAAAGAGTGAAATGGGATTCTTAGAAAAAGGAAAAGGGAGCTATGGTTGTTTAATCTATTGAAGTAAAGAATTTAGCTCACCAAACATTTTTTAATAATATGCCAGATTATAACAGGTACTGTGCTATTTTGTACCTTATCAAGAATAACAGATAGAATTTAATTTTATTTTCAAAGAGAACTTCTAAAATTTTTTCCCTTAAATTATACTGATAGACCAACAATAAACTCCTGAATATAGGAGCTATATATTTTGTATCCTCAACATTGCAGAGCAACTGGCATTTAGTAAACCATAAATAAATACTTGAAATATAAATATAAGTAATCAAACAAAGGTAAAGTCACCAGAGGAGAAATAACTTACAGTCATAAATGATTGAAGTCTGAGTTAGAACACGAACTCAAATAATATCTCAAAGTTTAATGCACTCCGCCTCATGATTATTTTGAATATAATAAACATTAAACAGACAAAATCACAACATAATCAATAATTTGCTAATTACTATAAATCCAGGTAATAAACCAAGTCTAAATAGGTTCATTAGCATTTTAAAGAACTAGAAAGAGATAACAGATGTACCTTTGATTTTGTTTAAAACATAAAATCTCTAATAAAGGAAAGTGCCACTTTCTTAAGCATAATTTAGTAAGTTGCTAGTCATTTAACAATCAACCAAATTACCGTTTTATCTTCATCCACAAAAATCTCTCTGGCTTCCTCATAATTACAAAGTTCTTCATTGCACTCTCTTTCTAGGTCACCAGGAGTAAAGAGCTCCAAATCAAATCTATTATATAGGAGGCGTCTATGTATGAAAAAGTTTGCTTCTTCTTTTGATGTAAAGACTAGTAAGAAATAAAAAAGATTTCAAACATTGATAAATATAAGGCACAGAATTCCTCTTTCAATTATAGAACAAGTGAACAGTTTTCTTGATATGGTTAAATTATACCGAACTTTCTTGTATGGCTTTAAAATATGACCAAAAAACATTAATAAAATCAATAAAGGTAATTTCCAGCAAATATGAAATACAAATAGTAGCATAATTCCAGAAAATATTTGAGTTGACTGTGTCCAAAATTAGTTGTTTAAATGAAAATTATTTAAATATCATCTTTCCTTCCAATTATTTTTCCAGTAAATGACAGGTCAGACTATCTTATTTCTAAAGGATTAATTCCCTATTATCTCTATGGAGAAAAATTAGTGAGATGTAATGGACAGAGCAGTGGCCTTAGAGTTAGAAGACAGAGATTCTTGGTTTTAATTTGGTTTAATCTATCAGCTTGTGTATCCTGGATAAATCATTTATATTTTCTGGGCTGTCATTTCCTCACTTGTAAAATTGGCAATTGAACTAAATACTAACACCTCTCTAAGTATTAAAATTATAACTGAATATTTTTATATTAAAATTGTTAAAGTTTATAGTAAGATTTACAAAATTCTAAACTTCTAAGTTCATAAAATTGTAAATTAATTATAAGATTAATTAAAAAACATTTATTCCCTTCTTTCAAAGGAGCAGCTTCCTCTACCCCATACATTAAATATGTGTCCATATGATTTATGAGACCCCCATCTATATTTGCTGGGAAGGTAAATGGTAAACTTATTAATAGGGTTAAGCACAGGTTGGAAAATATGCCTCCATGGTAGTATTTTCAAAACTCAACAAACTTTAAACTTGTTCTGGTATAACGCAAACAAAGCTTAAGTGATTTTGTGCCGGATCACATTACTGAGACTAGACTTCAGAAATTCTCTGAGAACTACATCAAAATATTTAAAAGAGGCTGGGCAAAGTGGCTCAGGCCTGTGATCCTAGCACTCTGGGAGGCTGAGCCAGGAGGACTGCTTGAGCTGAGGAGTTCAAGACCAGCCTGAGCAAGAACAAGACCTTGTCTCTACCAAAAAACTTGAAAAATTAGCTGGGTATTGTAGCAGACACCTGTAGTCCCACCTACTTGGGAGGCTGAGGCAGGAGGATGGCTTGAATGCAAGAGTTTGAGGTTGCTGTAAGCTAGCTGACACCACCATACTCTAGCCTCAACAGCAGAGTGAGACTCCGTCTCAAAAAAAAAAGCTTTAAAGAATTTAAAAGTAAGGCCTGGCGGGATGGCTCACACCTATAACCCTAGCACTCTGGGAGGCCGAGGCACTGGATAGCTTGAGCTTGAGCTCACGGGTTCAAGACTAGCCTGAGCAAAAAGTAAGACCCCCATCTCTACTAAAAATAGAAAAACTGTGGCAAGAGGATTACTTGAGCCTAAAAGTTGGAGGTTGCTGTGAGCTATGATGCCACAGTACTCTACCTAGAGTGACAGTTTGAGACTCTGTCTCAGGAAAAAAAAAGAATTTACAAGTATAGTGACTTCTGGGCAGCACCTGTGGCTCAGTGGGTAGGGCGCCAGCCTCATGTGCCAAGAGTGGTGGGTTCAAACCCGGCTCTGGCCAAACTGCAACAACAACAATAAAAAAAAAAAATAGCTGGGCATTGTGGCAGGTGCCTATAGTCACAGCTACTAGGGAGGATGAGCAAGAAAATCACCTAAGCTCAGGAGTTGGAGGTTGCTATGAGCTGTGTGACACCATGGCACTCTACCAAGGGCGATAAAATGAGACTCTTGTCTTTACAAAAAAAAAAAAAAAAGTATAGTGACTTCTCACTGATAACCGTTATTAAAGGAAGAATATATTAAAGTAGACAATTCAAAGACTGCTCATGAAAGACCATAGTCTGGGTAGCTAATATAAATTGATTTGTGAGTGACCTTAGGTTCAGCATTTATTCTTTTTTTTGAGACAGAGCCTCAAGCTGTCCCCCTGGGTAGAGTGCTATGACATCACAGCTCACAGCAACCTCCAACTCCTGGGCTTAAGCGA